GTGGTTGTAAATGCTGGTGGGCTGCCAAGCACCTGAATTTTGGTCATGTGACAGCAACGGGTGTAACTTCAAGGACTGGCCATAACTACCATTCATTCAGTGCCATCATACTTCAGTCACTGAACAAATGGTCGTTAAACAAGGACTACCTGTATTACATAGTAATAGCCTACCATAGTTTAGTTATATATAAACTAAAAACTAGGCAATCCTTCACTTAAGCTAGGGCTATTAAAACCTAATTCTGTGCTGAATCTCAGGCTTAGTTCTAGAATATTCAGTGATTGAAAAAAAAGGGCTCCAAGTATGCACTGTGTGTTCAAAAAATACACCACGGACATCCCTCACACATATAGGACCTGGGGCAGGGTTTCCATGCAAACTCCAAATAAATGAAGAGGACAGCTAAATTCAGTGATTTCACTCCCAAAGACAGGCCAGAAGGATATCCTTGTGGCTTTTACAACAAATCCAGAAGGGGATAGGTACCATGAAATCTAATTTCTTTAGGAAATCTTGGACTATAGCTCTACATCCATTCCTCATCAGTTTTCTTTTCTTTTTTATTCTATTTCTAGCCCTTCAGGTGATAGTGTTACATATGCAAGATCCCATCCTGTGATACACTATGGAATTTATACTTGAGTTATTTGAAGACATCTGATACTTTGTACAGCCAAAGCGGTGAGGGTCCAGCCCTAATGTTGGCTAGATAGAAGATGGCAATGAATGAGAATATTATTTATGTGGGCCATTCAGAGCTTGATAGATGGACAGAAAATTGTGCGGGATAAATAATAACTAAACACAGATTTGAAAATGATTACCTCCACGCCACAGAGTTTATAGCCTGGGCTGCACATGAAGCATAATGAGGTAGAAAGGGAATTATGAAAGTGCTGATATGATAGAATGATATAATACCATTTTAGAATGGGAAGGGAGATAGGCAAGAAGTATTCTGCATGCAGAGAATAGTCTCTGAAAACAGAAAACTGGAAAACTGTTTAATGTGAGAAGTACTGAAATGCTATGTGCCAGTCAGGATGGTCTGCAGCCTGAAGTGGCAGGTCCATCCTACTCACTTTAGTAGCACTTACCTGGATGTAGACTAGGGTTGAATCTTTTTTATTTGTTGGAGAAATGTGAGCATTAATGGGCTGGATCCATATTACAAGTGGGGCCATGTATCACTTATATGATATATGGGACCATTAAACCCATGATCTAAGCCTGGTTTGTTGTATTCATGACAACTGGCTAGGTTTTCAAATCATAACTGCAAAAACATGGTTTGCAAAGCCTAACCATCAGCCCAATGAAACATGTGCATCTCTGATGCAAAATCAAATATATTATTGTCTGTCATGTGGTATGAACCAGGTTCTTATAAGCTCCCTTTCAGTTCAACTAACTTAAGAGTCATATGCATGCCTATTCAGAAGTAAATGTCATGCTTAGTCTGAGAAGAGTGCACACAGAAACTTAACTCCTGGGTGCATCGGACCCCAAAAAGGTTAGTTCAGTGTTTTTCAAACGTGGCAACTTTAGAAAGTGTGGACTTCAACTCCCAGAACTCCCCAAGCTGCATACTGGCTGGGAAATTCTGGGAGTTGGAGTCCATACATTTTAAAGTTGCCAAGTTTGAAAAACACTGGGTTAGTTATTAGTCGAAAAGGGGCGACCAGCTGCTTCCGGTTGTTGCCACCATAGACTAGCATGGCTCTCCTCCTACAAGGTTAAGGGGTGAAATCCGAGGAATATGATGCCGGGATCACGGCCCCATTAAATAAAGAGGGAAAAAGGTGCTATCTAAAACAAGACGGTCCCCAAGACACTTCTTCAAAAGAGAAAAAGGGGACGCGTTCTTCCTGCAACCGTAACACCACCAAGAGAACCTCTGTTTTTGTAGGCGGGGCTTTTAGGGAATATACGGTAAGCCAAAGGCTTCCGTCAATTTCACTCGGGGCGGCCCAGACCGCACCGGATGTTTACAAGCTGCATTTCCGCACCAACGAAATAGTCTCTATGATCGGCCGCCCCTGGGACCGCTGAGGGGGCCGGCTGCGCCTGCGCGAGCCGGGCCCCTTTAGGCCGCTCCTGCCGCCCCGACCATCCGCGGAGCTGTATGCGTTGAGCGGAGAGGCGCGGGCTCGGCAGCGGTGGCAGCAGGCGCCCGGCCCTCTCCCGCCGGTGGGCCCCGCTGCGCCG